AGAAACAGAAACACTTTCAGCCTCCTGAATGTTTCAGTGTTGATTCCATCTTCTGTGTAAAGTGGAGATCTTTGGCTTCTGTATTTGGGTTGTTCGAGATCCGCCGCAGTAAACTCGCTGTTCTCTGTGGAGCTCACAGCCGCGATGATCCTGAGCGAAGCATTTTCTCAGGATTAATCTTCAGGTAGCAGGAACAAGGCCCCATTTATGAAGTTAGTTATGATCAGATTACACTTAACAGGTCAGGTTAGAGATCAGCAGGTATGACATCACTGCCTACTGACCAATCAGACCTCAGCAGGAGAGTCTAAAGTCTTCGTGTCTCCCTGGTGAGCATCAATAATAAATAAAGATTATTAGACACAGCTTTATTCCTGCATTTTCTTTCTGTTGGCAGCAAACAATTTGTCAATAATTTTATTGTTCAGTAAACGTTACCGACGCTAAAACAGAACACCTGTACTGTACCTGCTGACCTCGTATATTATTTAATCTTTACTCTTGTAACAAGTATCCTCTGGCAGTATCTATATATATATATATATATATACACACACACACATATGCTGTAGAGAGCAGCAGTCTGGCCCGGAGACTCAAACCCAGGACGCTTCTACTGTAAGGTGTGTGGGTGCTGTTCGATCACTGACCTAACTGGTTCTCAGTGTCTCAGTGTTCTCACTGCTTTGTGATCCTCAGTGAGTCCTGTCATTGACATAATGAGCGGTTTAAAGCACTCGGGCTCAGCACGACTCACTGTTCTAATCCCGTTTACACCTTGAACTTTGTTTACGCGTCAGAGATGCAGTGACGCGTCCTGCTTTATGACAGCGTCACTGACTCTGGACTGGTTGTTGGGGCTGTGGTCCAACATTTTTCTGTGCATGCTCACGTGTAGATGTCCCACATCTACTCAGACTCACCCTGGGACTTTGTGAACTCGAACATCAACTCATCAAAGTCAGCTTTATTGTCAAAAACAATATGTACATAAAATCCCAAATCCTTGGAGCGGCTCCACACGAACTTCAGAGCAGTTCGTTTACGGCGTGAACGCGATCCGAACCGACTACCAGGTGTTGGTGACGTAAATAGCCAGGTGTGCTTTGTGTTCGTAAAGCATGACGGTACTATATATACTACAGGTCTGTGAACTAGCAGCTCGCCATGAACCAAACTGTCCAGTCTGCACCTTCTTCCTGTGTTTACTTTTGTTGCGCCCGCCCCCCACACACTTGGCCAATGAATGACGTGGTTTGTTGTGACGCACATAAACCAAAAACTGTAAGTTTACAAACGCACCAGCTGATTCGGTCCAGAGGAAACCGGCTATAGATGTGAAAACACCCACCTGATCTACACAGTACCCGGCACAATAAAAACGATAAATCCTTTATTTATTTAAAATGTGTGCCTGCCTGTAACAAATCAAGGCAGCAGCATTAAAAACACGAACTTCTTTAACTCA